GTGCACTCCCTACTCTGATGATGATGATGATCTTCATCAGATCTCTAAATGATTCTGACACAATTGTTGACCCATCACAATAAATATTGCAGAAGTTCTCCGCATTAGCCACAAGATCCGATTTAGTTTTCTTCTCTTCACTACTCACCTGATTTAAATCAAACAACAATGAGAAAAACATTCCTCCGCTGCAGTTTAAGTGGCAATGATGAATCTACATCCACAACCACCTGAAATGTTTATTTAACAAACAAAACATCAGAAAAAAAGCGATTAGATTCGATCCGACAATCATTAGCTGGAAGTTCACACGATCAAACACCACAAAAAACTGAAATTGAATGCAATTTAGAAAAGTTTTGTGGTGGAAAATGTTCATGTTCAGGTGCATTTACTGGTTTCAGGCGAGAAGTGAGAAGTGAGAAGCGAAAAGCGAGATTCGAGGCCGAAGATTCTTAAAGAGAAACGGAAGAAGAAGAATAGAAATGATAACAAAAAGTTTAATAGTGTTGCGGCTTCTTTTATTATTGCTTCAATTGGCCCTTAAGACAGAAACTGCACGAATCTCAAATGTGGTTTTGTTGTTTGGAAAATCACTAGAAATTATGAAAACACTTAAGATAAACAATTTCTATTGTGCAACAGATATTTAATGTTGAGGGAGGATCCTTCAAATCTTTACAAACTTCGGAAGTTATTGATTGATCTTGATCCTTTTGTAAGAACTTTTAGCGAAATAAAATAAAAATTTGAGAATTCTTCTTCAGTTATGAATCTTCGATTTGTATAAAATAATGAAAATATTCGTTAATCACAGCACGTTCCGTAAATCTTTGAAATTCATAATCCACAAATTCCATAATCGGGATAATGAAACTTCAATTCATTTAATTCAAATAATTAAAATTGTTTATGTCGACTCATCGACATTTGGATCGATTTTCGGTTTAATTACTTTGAAGCTGTTCAGCCTTCACTTCAAATATCAGATAAACTTTGTAGATAATTTTTTCATTCCAAGTCTAAGCCAATCATCTCGAACTCTCTTCTAACAAACTCAAATCACTTCTTGTTAAGTACAAATTGCGTTCTTTTAGAATGTGAAGTTTAAAGATCATTAATGTTTCACGTTTTAATACGATCGTGTTCGCTACTTTTGAGACGTCAACAATTGCTTGTAAGGTAAAAAAAAGATTTGGAAATACAACAATTTGAAGATTTAATGACGATTCGTCTCGATTTTGAGGAAGAAAAGATTTTCGGCCGATGGAAGTGTAAAATTGAGCTCAATTTTCTAATCCGCATTTAACTAGAAGCTTGTTGTAGCAGTAAGTTTAAGTACGCACGACATGCTTTAAAACAAGTCGAATTTATGATTTATTTATGTTGCGTGTATTGTTTTTAAAATGCTTTTAGTTTTAGTAAATAATTCATTCATTTTTCCCTTTTCAGTGTGTCTCAATCATGCAACATCGCATCGTCTGCTCGATTTCTTTCAAAAATTGAAAATCACGATCGGATGTAATCTCACATCTTAATCAAAAAGAAAGGATAATGAAGGGATACAAAGTTCAAGCGACAGCACGGGACGTTTCCTGAAAATTTTACCGAGTCATCTTTTAGTTTGTTTACTTTTAAATTTAACAAAACAGAAGCTTCGTATCCTATTGAAGTCAAGAAATGATATTTTGAAAAAGGGAAAAA